TTGGATATAGGCAATATATTTGGTTTTAGTGAAAGCAATCCTCTCCGTATAATAACTAAAAGAAACATATATCAGAAGATAACAATTCATAAGTATAAAATCCCGTGACCAAAAGAAAAGTGGAGAAATAGAGTGGTGATCACGAGAGAAATAACAACCCTGCTTAATTCTTTTTTATTCATCGCGCTATACCCGCTTTATCCCCCTCTCAAATTGCAAGATTAAGAGATATACGATGTATCATTATCTTTCAAACAACTAATATGATATATGCCTCTATTTATCTAAGATTTAACAACAAAACCCATGCAAAAATTAATCCTTCTTTTTATTATCCTATTATGCCAATCTAACAAACTCATTAGAGTATAATGGATAAGTTAGAAGTTATTTTTGAATCTAAAGGCACTAAAACTTTTGTTACACGAGAACGATAACCAATCACAAATTATGAGCATGTTTTTTAAGAAGGGATATAAATTCCAAAACACCCACAAATCATTTTGCATAGAAGATTTCTTTTATTTGTTGTCATTAGCTTAAAATGTTGACATAGTATATGCATTATATATTCCATACATATTCTATAGTTTGGAGGCATTAAGGGGAATTTGTTTTTTTTTGTTTTTAATTATTGTTTTAAATCAGAAGGTTGAACAGAAGATATTTCCTTAGAATATATAAATAAAATAAAAATTTAGAATAATCATAAGTTTAATACAATATCTTCCATATGTTTTACTTTTAAGAAACTCTCTACAACTCTAGATAATTGCAATATCTTCCATTTTCGACTCTAGCCCTCGTCGCTCTTGCATGCTCTTAATCCCATTTTCGACTCTAGCCCTCGTCTCTCTTAAAGACCTTTAACATAAATGCTCTTTAAGACCTTGAAAACCTTATGTTATTTGAAGGATATATAAGTATAGGGACTTATTTGAGTTATTGTGGAGTTTTTGGCTTTTTGTGACAGAAAGGAACTTTTTTTTGTATGATGTAAGCAAGAATATGTTCTTAATTCGGCCCTTTGTAGTTAATATCAAACTTTCGACGGTATTTGTAATTTGGAATGCTT